ACTATCAAAAAGCGTTTTAGGTCAAGGTTGATATTAGAGTTTAAGGCCCTGTAGATGTAGATTGCACAGTAGTAAGTGTGGATGTACTGAAATGGGAGTAAGTTTAGGTCTATGAAGAGTGGGGGAGTGTGTTGCCAGGGATGGGATTTAGTGATTATTCTTACTGCAGCTTTTTGTTGGGTTATTATTGGCTTTAGGTGTGTTGCTGCAGTTGATCCCCAAGCACAAATAGCATAGGTGAGGTATGGATAAATAAGCGAGGGGTTATAGTGTGAAGGGCATTTTGCGGCACGTAGTATCGTATCTTGGAGAGGATCCAACCGTTTTGGATACTTTTTTGGTTATATGCTGGATATGGGTGCTGAAATTCAGGTTGTTGTCAAGGTATAAATCTAGGAATTTGCCCCCATTATTTCTGGTAATTAGAGTGTTGTCAATCTTAATGTTAATTTGTGCATCTCCTGCTCTGCTACCAAACATAATATAGTAGGTTTTGTCAGTGTTAAGCGTAAGTTTATTGGCTGTCATCAAAGTCGATATTTTAATCAGCTCCTCATTCACAATGGTGTTGAGGGTGGCAAGATTAGGGTGAGAGATGACATAAGTCGTGTCATCAGCAAAGAGAATGGGTTTCAGGTGTTGGGATACGTTTGGAAGGTCATTGATGTATATGAGGAAGAGCAGGGGACCAAGGACACTTCCCTGCGGAACTCCAGTATCAAGTGGCCGTATTGTGTACTGCACCCATTCTCTTGTCTCCAGACTTCTCCAAACCTTTTTCATTACAGGTTGATGCTTGTGAGTCTGGGGTTGGGGCAGTACTATTACAAATCGGGAACAACGAGTTGCAGCCTGTAGCATACTTTTCAGCCAAGTTCCAGCCACATCAGAGGGCTTACTCTACCATTGAAAAAGAAGCCCTCGTGCTGGTACTGGCTTTGGAGCATTTCGATGTTTATGTGGGCCAGACATCGCAGGTGGTCACAGTCTACAGTGATCACAATCCTCTAGTATATCTCCAAGCCATGAAGAACCACAACACAAGGCTTATGCGCTGGACGCTAAGGCTGCAACCCTATAATCTGTCGATTAAATATATTGCCGGCAAAGAAAATATGTTGGCAGACTCTTTATCTAGAGTATAATATTTTATTTAGGTTAGGATGTTATTTGTGGTAACCCCTTTTCATGCTCTTTTTTTTTATCCCCTGGTGTGGGTTTTTTTTTTAGTGAGGGGATGCGGGCTACCGTCCGCCTGTATCTTGGACCTATGCTAGCCTGTCTGACTGCTGTCTCACTCTGAGTTTAGGGTTTGGCTTTTGGTCACAAGAAAAGCTGAGCTCTATCTAAGAGTTGGATGGTGGAGAGGAAAGGCGGTCCCATTATTTTGTGCCATGGCGGCACGGTTACCACTGGGAGGTGGCAGCCTAATCCTGAGCCTTCTCGGGGTGGGGGTGTGGCATGCAAAGAGTACGTAAACCTTTATTCGGCGCATGTACACACCCTCATTTACAGGCTATCTCCCCAACCAGCGAACCAGGTTGCTAAGAGTTGATGATGGGGCCCCGTCGTTCAACTAGTGACCAGGTTCTAGCCAATAAGAAGATGGGTTTGGCAATCGCAGAGGTTATGTGGGTACCGCCCCTCCTGTCTGCCCTTGTCATTCCCATTCTAGAGCTGGTTGAAGCACGGTCTGCTATCTTGTGGCTTTTATTTCTGCTTTGCTTACCGTGGAGTGCACTATACTTATCACTGTACATAGTGTACATATTGCTGTTCTAAATTGGTGAAGGATAATATAAGTCTAAACTTTTTCTACTGTGTTTATTTTGCACCCATTACACCTGGGGTAACAGGCCATTTGGAATCCTGGGTTGTAATACTGATGCTGTGTCTTTAATGGTGACGTACTGATACCTATTAGTAATGTAAAATTTGAAATAAGCAAGCGCATGGCCTCTTATACCGTAATGATCAAGTTTGTGGAGTAGGATGTCGTGGTCTACTGTGTCAAAAGCTTTTCTTAGGTCAATAAAAATTCCTAGTGGATATTCCTTATTTTCCAATGCTGTGTAAAGCAGATCTAGCATTTTTATGATTGCATCATTAGTGCTTTTATTTTTCCTGAATCCAAATTGGCAGGGGTTGAGTATGTTTTGAGCCGTTATAAATGAATACAGTCTCCTGTGCACGAGTTTCTCAAAGATTTTGGATAGCAATGGTAAGTTAGATATTGGCCTATAGTTGTTTAGGTCTGTAGGGTCACCACCTTTATGTATTGGTGTAACCCTTGCCATCTTGAGTAGTTTCGGGAAGGTGCTAGTCTCTAATGACTTGTTAAAAAGTAATGAAATAGCATGCGAAAGGACATGGGCCGCTCGCTTGTACAGTAATGGTGGGACATGAGACAGATTCCCCGAGTTATTTTTAAGTGACTTTATAATCTCAGTGACTTCCGTGGGCTCAGTTGGTGCAAGATAGAAGGAATTAGGGAAATTCCCATCTATCGGAAGAGACCTAATGTAGTATTACATTCCTCGACATACGAGTCTTTAATGACTTAATATAGATTTGAGCCTGTTGCATCTGCTAGGATCTCCGATGTGCGTGTCCTTAATTTGCTAAAGGTCTACCAACGTGCCTAGTGCTTCGCCTAAGGGAGAACTTTCAAAGAGGCAGTAGGCACTCGAAGTCAGTAGGTGGGTGTTCCAGGGGTCAACGCCCCCGCAGCCCGGTCCATGACCAGGCCTCTTGACGCCATATAATCAGGTGTCAGGGTTCTCGCGAGGAGCCCTTTGCGATATTGCAATCAACACCTGTTCAATAATTAGTGTTAATACCAAGGACTCAAGTGATCAGTGTCTGGCTCAGGGTCCAGGAGATAGGTGTCAACCAAGACATCACAGAGATAAGCGCCAAACAAACCATACCACGGGGTGGGGATAGAACCCGCGATCAGAGTCTCAAAACTCCAGACCGTCGCGTTAGCCACTGGACCAGCTAGCCACAATAAGATTCGTCCAACTAGGTATATTTCTACACCATAGGAAGGTTAGCATAGGCACCACAAATGCAAGTTCCTAACCTTCCTATAGTGTAGAAATATACCTAGTTGGACGAATCTTATTGTGGCTAGCTGGTCCAGTGGCTAACGCGACGGTCTGGAGTTTTGAGACTCTCTGATCGCGGGTTCTATCCCCGCCCCGTGGTATGGTTTGTTTGTAATTGTGTCATTACGATTTCGTGAGTCATAAGCGCCAAGTATGTTAATTTCATAACAGCCCGTCTGATTAGGGGAGCCCACCTGTGAGGAAGATAGTGGCTGGGGTTTCCAGTGGGACTGATTGACGTGCGATTAATTAATGTCAACGTTAATGTTTCCATAAGTAGTGAGTGAACTTCATATTTGCGCAGTTTTGTGTGCTTTGCTTATTCTAGAGTTGAATGGACTGTCTTTGTTTGCCTTTTTGGTATCTTTACAGTATTAGTTGGTCTGTGCACTGTGTTGACCTGAGGTCGTGTGCAAGTGAGCTGCACACTTCTGATACTTGTGCAGTTAACAATTCTGAGTAATGTAAATTTATACAAGCCTGGTGTTGAGCTTAAATTATTACTTGAGTTGATTAACTTGCATCTTCCAGTCAGAATAACTATTTGAAGTTCTACCACTCAAAATGAGTGCTAGTTGATGCTCTACCAGTCAGCTCTACAAGCCAGAATGAGTGCTAGCTGATGCTCTACCAGTCAGCTCTACAAGCCAGATGAGTGCTAGCTGATGCTCTACCAGTCAGCTCTACAAGCCAGAATGAGTGCTAGCTGATGCTCTACCAGTCAGCTCTACAAGCCAGAATGAGTGCTAGCTGATGCTCTACCAGTCAGTGTGAATGATATACCTGGAGAACATTCCGGACATTCTGCTATTTGTAAACTGTAGAAATTAAAATATATGAAGAGATTGTAATTTTTTTTTTTTTTGCAATGTAACTATGCCTAATGAGGTACACCTATGTTATCAGCCTCCTGGAGGGAGTTTCGGGGGTCAACGCCCCCGCGGCCTGGTCCATAACCAGGTCTTGCAGTGGATCAACCAGGCTGTTACTGCTGGCCGCACGTAAACCGACGTACGGACCACAACCCGGCTGGTCAAGTACTGACTTTAGGTGCCTGTTCAGTGTCTTCTTGAAGACAGCCAGGGGTCTATTGGTAATCCCCCTTATGTATGCTGGGAGGCAGTTGAACAATCTTGGGTCCCTGACACTGTGTTGTCTCTTAGCGTACTCGTGGCGCCCCTGCTATTCACTGGGGATAGTATGATAGATGTGTCCCTTGGCTCGATTGCTAGCGATCTCGGCTCACACATACAAGTAGGGTGGAAACATTAGGACGTGTTTCCTTAAGGCACCTACTGTCCATGTTCAACTATTAGTAAAATAGGTACCTGGGTGTTAGTCGACTGGTGTGGGTCGCATCCTGGGAACAAAACTGACCTAATTTGGCCAAAATGTTCAGCATAACAAGCGGCATTCTATATAGTAGTATGTCACTGATGTCAGCTAGGACTGTATACCTTGTACATTTACTTGCAGAAATAAAGATATTTATTATAAAGACCCACTGTGGCCTCTGTAATTCTACTTCTGCACTACCGCTGACACGATCAGTAAGGGACGCACAAACTAGTCGACCAAGCAGTATAACTAAACATGAATTATTTTAGTTATGCTCTATCACGTAACTGTTTCTCGTGTAGACTAAATATATTTGTACAAGATATATTTAGTCGGCTAAGCACCAGCGCATCTGTCTGGCGGTTAGCAGACGGAGGATTAAGCCTTCACTACGCCCTGCGCTGAATGAACCACATGGCTTTATCGCTGAACATGAATTAAACATTGTTTTACCAGATCCCTAGGCCGGAGAAGAGAATTTAGATTTTCGGTTGAAAACCGCGAGATGGTTTGCCTACTACAAGTCCTGCTTTGGAAAGCATATGTCTCCACGGTATATGAACAAGTCGAGGCCAGTGGTAGTGGTGAGGGGACGGGAGTATGAGCAAGACCAGTAGTGGTGGTATAAAGTCAGGGAGGGCGAGGCAAGGATCATCTGGCACTGAACATAATGACATGATGCTTCACTCACCTCTGTAATGCCCAACTCTCGCTGCTGCTTTTCTAGTGAGCCGGAAGAGGAAAAAGGGGAACGCTCACTGAAGGTGACATAATGAGAAGGCGGCAGGAAGGAAAGGGAGATGAAGTGTGCAGGATAAAGCAAAGCAAGACAGCCCACCTTCAAACATGCCAGTGGTCTTGACGCAGTATCGAGCCTCAAACACGCCGTGACAGCTGGTGGGTGTGAGGGATGCTGGCCGGGAGTGGTAGTTGGCACGCAAGTACTCTGGGCAGTGTGGGTCTCTGCTGCTGTCACACTGGTAACAATTCAGACCTGACGCTGCAACACACATACACACAGTCACTTTTCGCCCCTGCACATTGCGTAAGCTGCTAAGCCTCTCGCTATACCCACCATGGTAACCGCAACACCTCCACCTACTTAGCTGAACGTTTAGTGATACTAGGAATGGTAAGCCTGTGTTAGTTTTGTTGTAGAACCAGAACAGCTGTAAACCTGAGAGCAACACCTACGTTAGAAGAAAATTCACTAAAAAGACAAGCAGATACAGTAGCTGTTAGAAGAAAGTTCCCCGAGCACCTGAAGAAAATAAATGTTAGTAAAGGCTGCAGGGTAGGGACGATGGTCGCCAACACACCACCTTCGAAGAGGCCGGTCATCTTGACGCAGAACTGAGCTTCCTGGATGTTGTCGCAGGAGTCAGCAAAGAGGACGTGGTGTTGGGGTAGAGCCTCGGCACAGGTACGCTCACTGGTAGAGTCACACTGGAAACACCGGATCCCAGCAGCTGTGGGCAAGCAGGAAGGGTAGGCCACCACACCCATCAGTATGTAGCATTCAACATACGCTTTTACAACACTATATAATAAAGACAAGTCATGTGTATTTTAACAAAAAATCCTATATGTATATAAAAAAAATCCATCATGCATATCAAAAATAAACAAATCCTAGTATGGAAAAGGAAATTAGTTTTTTTTTTAAATCATAGGCACAAATATTTTGGGGTATTCCTAGACGAATATAAAAATACAATTCTTGAAATTTATACAAGGGCGACTCTCACATGCATGACAAATTAGGAATATTGAGAACAACTTAATACTGTGACAGCTTAAATAATACCATGAACAAGCTGGTTTATATCACATCATGGTAGTGTAGCATGTTACTGTGTGTACATGTAATGTTGCTATGCGTGTTGACATGCATATTTGTCTCACTGTGACACTACTGTAGGATTTCATAGAATTTGGTTATAGTTAAGCATTACTGCAAGCAATTGCTATATTTGCCTAGCCATTGTTTACATTTGTATCGCCATTTTACCCGGATAGGGACAGAGTATAAAAGGAGAGGGGGAACTACTGAAGGAAACTGTATATTCTTGAATCGTAGGAAGGCATTTGACACAGTACAGCACAAGAGATTGAGACAAAAACTAGAGATGCAAGCAGGAATAACTGGGACGGTATTACAGTGAATCAAAGAAAACCTAACAAAAATGAGATAGTGTGTTTGGGAAGTGGCATTAAGTGGGAAGAGGCAAGTGTGACATTGGGGTTCCACAAGGATCAGTACTATTTCTGGTGTATATGAATGGCATGCCAGAAGAGTCCGATGTAAACCTAATGAGATTATAACCAAGAGAGGACAAGGAAAGGCTACAGGATTAGTCTGACAATCAATTATTGGAACTCGTCTCCATCAAATACAAGACTAAGAAAATTGGTGAAGGAGAAAAAAAAAATTAGAAATTACGTTCAGACTTGGGAGACAAAGACTGCAAACCACATCTCGGAGAAAGCATTGTGCCAAGCATACTGCCTGTGGCGCACGCACAAACTATATAACCTATGCAGCAAATGTGGATTTGACAAATCTAAGATTAGGTTTCAGGGATTTAAAGAGTCATCCACAACAATATATATGACATGTCAAGCCCATCTTGGAATATGAATCGCCAGCATAAAACACACATCTAAGAAAGCATATTAAGAAGCTGGAAAACTTCATGGGTTTGCAACTGCACTTGTCCTGGAGCTAAGGGGTACGAAGAGAGACTAAATGAATTGAATCTGATGACATTAGAGAATAGAAGGACCAGGGGAGACAGGAGAGGCGGGAAACAGGTATACGAGGGAACAGCTGGAAGTTGAAAATGCAGATGAATTACAGGGATATAAGTATTTACCCCGACAGTGGTCAGAGTGGAATGAACTGGACAATGAAGTGTTAAGAGGCAGGATCAATATACAGTTTTGAAAATTCATATGACAGGTCTCACGATGCTAGGAGAGAGTGAACGCACTAACGGCCAATACCCGAAGCAGAGCCAAGAGCCGAGACTCGACTTAAGAAACCGCAAACAGATGAGTGCAACATTAACATCCTGGGAAAGACACATCATCCTGGCCACTCTCAGTTCAGTCTTAAAGAGTGAGAGTCGGGCAGCGTTCAATATCTCCTCTGAGACAAATAATCTGCAAGATCACGACCAGAAGAAAGGAGATCAAGTGAGAGTGTAGAGGGGGAGGCAAGGGGAGACGGGGAGAGGGTGGAAAGAGGAAGAGAGAGGGCGAAAGAGATGAGAGGGAAAGAGGGAAGGAGAGGGAAGGGAGGGAAGGAGAGGGGAAGGGAGGGAAGGAGAGGGGAAGGGAGGGAAGGAGAGGGAGAGATAAAGCAGAGTAAAATAGGGAGGAGGCAAGGGAGGAAGAAAATGTTCAGTGAGGAAATGGAGAAAAAAGAAAAAATGGAGAGGGGGGAGTAACGGAGGTTAAGAAGGGATAGAAGGGATGGAAGAGAGCGACAGATGGAGGAGGACAATGAGAAGGATGAAAGACTGAAGGCGAAAATGAGGATCGGGAGAAGAGAGGCAGAAGTAATACTAGATTACAGAGACGTGCACTAAACCCGCAGGGCTCGTACAACACCTGGGAATGGAAAGTAATCAGATTTGATCTGAGGAAACGGAAGGTAGGTCCCATTCCTCCTATCAAGAACTCTTGAGCAGTATCAAGACAGTAACCTTGATGGAGAGGGATGAGAAGTGGGGGGCAGGGAAGTGGGAGAGGAATGGTAGGGTGAGAGAAGGGAGAGGAAGAGGGAGAGGAAAGGGGGGAAGGAGAGGAAGGAGAGGAAGAGAGAGGAGAGAGAGAGAGAGAGAGAGGAAGAGAAAGGAAGGAGAGGAAGAAGAAGAGGAAGAGAGGGGAAGAAGGCGAGGAAGAAGGAGAGGAAGAGAGAAAGGAAGAAGGAGAGGAGGTGGGTTCCTGAACCTGGTGTGTTATGAACTGAAGGGGGCGAAGAACTAAGGGGGGAAGGGGAGGGAAGGGGGACAAGGATGGATCCAAGTCCCCTCCCACCACCATCCTTACCAGGTAAACACATTCT